TCCCCATCAGACCACATGCGTTCTCGGGGACACAGGCACAAATCCTAAGGTTCCTCTAGGATGTCCTGGCTGGGGTCTGTGTAGCGGGGGTGCTGGGCTGCAGCCTGGTGGTGGAGTGGGCAGGGCTCTGGACCCCTGCCTTCAGGGCTTTCAGGCAGGACAGAGCCTCTGGGGCTGAGGAGCCTGTTTTCCTCTCTTCCAAGCGGCAGAGATCTTTTTCCGGGTTGCTTGTTGGCCAAGGCTCCAGAGAATCCTAAGCTGGGGTCTGGGATAAAGTCATGAACAGCCAGACTGCGAGGGCCCTGGCCTCTGCTCCTCACCCTGAGCCTTATAGGGACAAGCCCTCTTTGGACAGGGACTGAGGGCTGGGCCAGCTCCTGAGGAGGAAGCAGGAAGCCCCTCAGCTCCTGGCCCAGCCAAAACACTCCAGGCCAAATCCGGTCCCTCCCCTCTGGGAACAGCAAACAGCAGTGTGGCCCCTCCCCCTCCCCCTCCTGCCGGCTGGGGAAGCCAGTGGCTTCCTCTGACCACCCCCTGGCAGACCCTGTCTGTTCTACCCTTCTGCTATTCTCATTTCTGGTGCTATGTCTGTCCTTCTGTCAATAGGCAGGGACTTTGCTACCCTGGGAAAGTGGGAACTCAGAAGGAGCAGGGCTATCCCAGGGCAGCCCAAGGATGTGAGTGAACAGGTTAGGGGTCTGGGTGGACATCTGAAAGAAGGGACTGTCTGGAAGAGACCAGCCCCGCTGCCTAATACTGCCTCCTGCCCTAGCGGTCCTGACATCCAAAAGGCTGGGGTCCAGGCCACCCATAACTCAAGTCCGTGAGGACTTTTGTAGCACTCCCACCTCCACCCTGGTGTGAAACTGCGGGGGTACCTCGCTAAGGAAAGGAACTGGTTGGGACATGCTGGAGGCGGAGGCCAAGGTCGCCCCCGCTTGGACTGAGTCCCGACAACGCAGCCCAGACCTAGGCCAGCGGCCTGGGTAGAAGCCAGTGGGCTCTGGGGTCACTGCTTGGGTCCAAGCGAGCCAGGGCCTGGAAGGGCAGCCGGCTGGGACCGAGGGGTACGACCAGGAACGACAGGAGCGCGCAACCCCGCCCGACCCCGCCCCGGGTGGCGCCGCCGCCGGAGATCAGCGATGTGTCCGCTCCGGAGCGCGCCCAAGACCCTGCCCCACGGGCGGGGTCGTTACCGGAGGAAATGGCTTTAGGGCTTAGGGTCCCGCACCCCACCGGCCCCCACCCGCAGCTCCAGGGCTTGGCGTGGCTGCCCCCGCCCTGCGCGGGCCGCACCCTCCGGCCGCACCCGCGTGGGTAGCTAGGAGAGCCCGGGCTCCAGCCGCGCACCCCAACCCGAGCGCACCGCGGGGCGCGGTTGTGCAGCGGGGGACTGGCGGCGGGCGGACACTCACCGAAGTACACGGTCTTGTCGCACTTGGGGCACTTGGAGGCCATGGTGTGTGCGCCCGGTCTGTCCGCGCCCTCCGCCCGCGCTCGTCTCCGCGCTGCCGCCCGAGTCGGCCCCGCCCTCCGGCCCCCCGCCCGTCATTGGCTCCGCGGCCGGGCGGGGCCTCGGGAGCCCGCCCCCCGGGCCGCCAGACGCTGGAGATGCAGCGGGCGGGGCGCACCTGCCGCGGGCGAAAGGCGACCCTGCCCTGCGCCCAGACCCGCTTGCTCCGCGGGTCTCTGAGGCCCGCCTCAGCGTTTCCACGGCAACAACGGGTCTTCGGGCCGGCGCGTGCCCCCTGCGAACCGGTCCAGGGTCCTCCGCCCCCGCCCCCGGCGCCTGGCAGAGTCGCGGCGGGAGGGGTCGCGCGCGGGGCGCCGACCCACCCCCACCCGCCGCGCGACACCGCCTCCCTTTGTTGCCCGGTTTCCACAGCAACAGCTGCGCGGCGCTGGGCGTCGGGTTCCGGGCGGGGCCCAGCGGTCCTGTCTGTGGTGCTGAAGGCGGGCGGGCGGGACTCGCAGGGAGGCGCCGCCACTTCCCAAAACAGCGCGAGAAACGGCTGGAAGGGTGGGGAGCCGGGAGGGGGCGGCCTGCGCCGGCGCAGGGACGAGGGGGCCGCGGGCGCACTCGCGCGCGAAGGCTGCTCCGCGCGCACTCCCACTCGGGCAGTGGAGCCGCTGCGAGTGCCCTCCGAGCCGGCTGCTGTGGGCTGACACGCCCATCTGCGAGTTCCTGGCTACTTTCTTTCCTAGGCCCAGGGCCTCTAAGTTCCAGGCTCCTGGCCCCAAAGCGTTCCATAGGGCCGGGCAGCCTGAGATCCTGCCAATCAGATGGTGTCTCCCACCCTGCCTATTCCTCAGAACCATCCCCCGGCAAACCACTGTCCTCTCTACCAGGGGCCTGCCTGACCTCTCCAACCTCGACCTGCCTCCATCCTGGACCCCAGAAGGATCTGTCCCAAGACAAAGGCCTCCGGACCCCCAGATGTCTACTCAGTCCTCCTTCTCAGCCCACTGCCCAGCTGGGACCCGGGCCCCAGAAACAACCCTCACACTCCTCATCCAAGCCCCAGTCTGGGCAGCCAACTCTGGGCACGTTCTTCACTGCTCTGTGCCAGACATTGAGGTCCGCCTCATTTCCTCTGCCTGGTGCCTCTGCCCGGCCTGAGGTCTGGGCCAAGTGGCTTCGTCACCCCTTCCAGGATCCAGGTAGCAGTGGCCTGCCCTGGTTCCCTTCCCCCATCCTGGCACACACCAGGCTGCCACTGCCGTTTCCATGGCAATGACAGCTCCAAAACATGCCCCCCCCCCCCAAAGCCTGACTGACCAGCCTGACCAGCTCCCCCTGGGCACCTCTGGACTGCTAAGGTGAGAGATGGGGGCAGGGAGCATTCAGCCAGTGCCTTCCCGGGCAGGGTCCTTTCACTCACCACCAGCTCATTGCTCAGCCTGGATTCATGTCCCCCTGACCTCCACTTGGTACCCATTACCGTACCCTCTAGCTCCTTCCCCAGCTTGGGAGCCAAGGGGGGGACTTGGGCACCACCCCCCCGACAGCACTCTACTTCTTGATATTTGCAGGACTGTGTTTTCTGGAAGGACGGATCCTAAGGGTGCCCAGCCCTGCCTCAAGAGCAGTTGAGGGTGGAGGACCCTGGAACGGGTGGCCGCAAAGGAATGGCATTCAGCACTGGCCAGATGCCCGGGGTTGAGAGGTGGTGGAGTGGGGAGGGAAGGGGAGTCCTGCTGGCAGCTTTTACCCTGCTCACCCCCAGTTGCAGTCCCTTGGTCGAGGCCAGAGGTTCCATGGTGTTATGGAGCTGTTCTGGGCCTGACAGGAATGGACATGGGTCAACAGGCACAGAGCAACAGCCTTGGCTTCCACCTCTGAGGCCATGAAGAGCTACAGGTTAGGGCAGTGGTGGGCCAGGATGGGCTCCTGGTGTGGAGAAGGGAAGGTGTAAGCACCTAGCAGAGGTTGAGTGGAGGATGACAGGGTGTGGGGAGGCAGTCAGGGGCCTGGATGCTGAGGCAGGTGACCAGCTGTGGAACAGAGGTCCTTCCCCTGGGGCCCCAGTAACACGGTGCCCTACTGCCCAGTCACCCTGCTGCAGGGAACCTAGGATGGGCTTGGTGGCAAATGCAGGAAGGGTGCATCCTGGGCTGAGGCTCTGAGGTGGGCCTTGGCAGGGAGGCCAGGGCTATTAGAACCAGGTCTCCAGGCCAACCCTCAGGTCCCTCAGAGCATGCCTGCCCTCTGGGGATGGCCCTACCCTGCGGATGCAGGTCCTTTTCCCCATCAGCAGTGCCTCAGGAGGACAAAGCAAAGCTGAGAAACCCACTCCTGGGCCCTCGTTCTGCCCAGCTTCTGCCCACCCCTCATCCTCATCGAAGATGGGCACACAGTCAAAGCCCTGCCTGGCACAGGTGGAGGGGCCTGGCCCTGAGGTAGGCATTGTAGAGGGAGCCTACCTGCCCTTCCCACACCAGGTCTCCAGGACCCCACAGCCTTGGGGACAAAAACTGCCTGAAGAGGAAGGGCACCGCTGTGCAAGGGGCTGCGGTTTCCACCCAGCTGCTCGAGCTGACCCAAAGCCCACTCCCCTTCCCCAGACCCCCCACAGTTGCCAAAAGCCTGAGGCTCCTTTTTCAAGGCCTAGTTGGGGACCAAGGGCATGGGGCCAAATGAAGACTAAAATTAGCAGGAGAGGGAGTCAGTGACCTGAGAAGATAGGTAGGTGTACACTGTAGCTGTGTCCCCAGCACGCGGGCCTGTCCCCAGGTTGGGCCCCATCACAGGTTCACAGAGGGAGGCCAAGATACCCCCTTATCTATCCCCAGGGCAGCAGTAGAAGTGGTTTCTATTTTAATGCCTTGGCTGGGGGTGGGAGAACCGAAAGCAGAGCCCAGTGGGGGAGACAGAGCCCACTGCCTCGTGGGGAGGGGCCAGCTGAGCAGTCTAAGGGTAGGCCCTAGAGCCAGGGCTCCTCCCTCAGGCTGGCCCAGCCTGCACCTGTCCCCATGCCTGCAAGGGTGAGGGACAGGCTGAGATAAGATTTCTGAGCAGGGACTTGCTGAAATCTGAGCAAATCCTCATTGTGGAGAAGGGCACCTGCTGGGGTGGCCGGCCAGTGTAGGGCGTGGGCCCTGGGCCTAGAGCTTTCAGGCCAAGCTGGCCCAGTTGTGCCCATGACCCTGGCCTTAGGCAGTCTCAGTACAGCTCCTCTTAAGGGGAGGCCCTTGCCCTGGCTGACATGGAAGGTGGCAGGGGAAGGACTGGATCAGGGCCCTGAAGGTCAGCCTAGGGTGCCCCTGGCCCCAGGAGGTCTGGGCTGCGGTGGCTGCTCGGGCTGCCCTGAGGAGAGCTGCTTTGCCCCAGTCACTGCCCACCATTCTGGCCTGACTGCTGGGGCAGTGTGGGAAGAGGTGTCCTGGGCCCTGACCTGCCAAGGGAAGACCTGGGGTCTTCACAGGTGTTGAGGTGAGGGAAGGCCCCAGGCCCATGACTGGGAGACGGGCTGGGAACAAAAGACACAGGGAAGGGTTGGCTGGGTTTTTTCCTTTTTATGAGATTTTTTTTTCTTTGTTTTTGTTTAATATGAAAATTACTTGAAAAGACAAGGGGCCAACCCCGCCAGGCAGCTCGGCCACCACCGGCCGCTCCAATCCTAACGTTCCAGGTGTAAGTTACAGAGCTCAAGTTCATCTACAAAAAAAGTAATAAAAATAAAATTTAAAATGGCACCTTCAACAGAACACAACAAAACCTTAGGGCCCGGCCCGGGCAAGAGCCCCACAGCGTGCAGGGCAGGGCGGCTCCTCGTCTGCTCCAGCCAAACAGTAAACACAAAGCTAAAAAGGACTCCTCGGCCTCTCGGAGTGAGTGAGACCACACTTCCCCGACAACCGAGTCCTGCAGGTGAGGGCGGGAGGTGGGCACTACAGAAACAGAGGAGGGGCGGGCAGCAGTCTGGCGGGGAGGAGACCGCCATCTGTGTAGGCCTCGAGGGACACGGGCAAGGGCAGGCGGCCCTAGTCCTCAATGACAATGGGCTCGTCGTTGACTGGCGCAGGCGGGGGTGGCCGCAGCGGCAGAGCCTGGCTCTGGCGCAGGGCGATGGGCTTATAGGGCCGGCGGGCAGCACGCTTGGTGTCCGAGGATGAGAGCAGCTTGCGGATCTTCCTGTGGGGAGAGGCAGGCAGGCTGGTGAGTGCTGGAAGGGTGGCCAAGACCCTGGCCCTGCCCTGCGAGGGCCCCACCTGGTCTCCTCCGTGGCCATGTAGAACACGTCATCCGGGGCGTCGATCCAGTTCATCCGTCGCCTCTTAACAGGCGGCAGGGAGCCCCCCCGGATCAGGCGCACTTTGGTGGGGTATGACTTCCCATTGAGCAGCAGGTTCCGGCTTGGTCCCTGGGGGGGAGAAGAGCATGAGGGGCTCCTAGGGAGAGACAGGAGACCCTGCCCTGTGTGGCTCACACACCCCAGGCCAGGCCAGGCAGGGAGCCTGTGAGGGCTGTTCAGTCCCCCAAGAGGCCAGTGCCACCTCTCTGGTCTGCCCCATGGCACTGGCAGGGTGGCCTGGGCCTCACCCCCAACAGGTCGCTGGCTCTTACCATGTGCCTGGTCTGTCCGTGGTTTGCCAGACCTGGTGAGGAAAGGACAGAAGGTGAGCCTGGGTCAGGGGAGGGCATCCTGCACCCACACTGCCTGCTGATGGCCGTCAGCCAGGCCCAGGACACAGGCAGCTTCGTGGGGTCATCCCTGGATCTTTGGCCTACAGCAAGGGGCTTAGGGATGTGGGGACTCAGGTCCTCAGGCCCAGGCTGGCTCGACATCCATGAGCTCTTAGAGCCGCTGTTCTGGGCAGCGGACGATGCAGCCGCTGGGGCTCCAGGCAGAAGGCCAAGAGAAGGGAGTCTGAGGGCCGGCTCCCCGCAGGCAGACCCCCCACCCCGCCGGGCCTCAACACACTATCACGACGCGCCATGGCTGTACTCAGGTCAGCAGCCCCTCTGCAAGGCAGCCTCAGCCCACTCGTGGCTTGGTGCCAGCTGCTAAGGAGGGCACCCAAGGCTCAACATGGACAGTTCCTAGAGGGATGCCACCAGAGTGGGGCCAAGAGGCAAAGCTCAGACTCCATCAGTGGTGCCAGCCCCACCCAGGGCCACTGCCACCTCCTGGCCCTGACAGCAAATGTAAGCATGAGAACTAAAGTGGTCTCTGGACAGGAAAGGGTGCCTCAACCCCTTGGTGCCTGGTCAGGCCCTGGTGGCCCCACAGCACCCCTCCGGTCCCGTTAAGGAGCAGGAGTCTGCCCAACCTCCTCCACCCAGAGTGACTCCTCATGTAGGGTGTTCCTGGGGCCCAGCTTTTACTTTTAGTTTATTTTTGCATTTCCCATTTGTTGTTCTCAGTCACACGTGACAGTAGAATGCACTGACACATCCACACACGGAGCAGGACCTCCCACTCTTGTGGCTGTATGTGACGTGGAGTTACACAGGTCGTGGATTCATACAGGAACACAGCACTGGGGCCCAGCTTGCTTGGCTCCCTAGGTGGGGCAGGGCTAGGCCCCAGGTCTCTGGGCTGCAGTGCCTGAGCAGGGACAGCCTGCTCATGGCACCTGCCAGAATCCCAGCCAGCCCTGTGCCCGGGGACAGCCATTAGCACCAAAGCTACTTACCCAGGTAAGTGCCTGCCAGAGCGACGGACGGCAGAGGGAAGAAGACCGGCAGAGTTAGGGTGAGCAGCATGCATGGGGCGGGGTGGGGTGGGGTGGGGCAGCACAGGGCAGTGGGCAGTGAGTAAGGCCCCATGAGCTGGGGCAGGCCCTCATCCAGAGCTCACACCTGCCCAGGCAGGACAGAGTCCCCACCCCAGGCCACAGTCTCCCCTCAGCGTCCACAAGGAGGCTGAGCCAACAACGTCCAGCTGACCCACAGCTTCCAGCCCTCTACAGTACACAGTCTGGGATTGGGATTGGTCTCATGGCCAGCCCCTCTGACCTGGGATCTGACCCTGTGGAGAACAGGCCATTGTGGTGCCCCAAAGGGCTGGACAGGGCTCCCCCTGCCTCCTGGGAGGTGTCCACCACTAGGAACCACACACGTGGATCCAAGGAGGTGGCTTTCCAAAAACTCAGTGGGAATAAACAGACTGGACCAACTTGCCTGTGAGCAGCTTCCCACAGAACCAGAGGCCAGCTCTTAGGGCAGCCCTGCCAACAGACAGCCCAGAGGCCCTGTCCAGATGGGTCCTGATGGAAGGGACAGGCCCAGGTGTGAGCTCACCCTGCAGCCCCAGAGTGGCCGGCTGACCCCACAGGGATATGGCTGCCAGGGTGCCCAGTGGCCTGCAAGGTCCTAAGACCACCTTGAGTGGGCATGTTCCAAGGGGACAAGGTAAAAAAATGGGTGGCTGCCACCTTCTGGGGCAGGGCCTGGCCCTCCCTTGAGCCAGCTTGCTGGTGAGAGCAGCACACCTGTCCTGACAGCCTGGGGAGGGGCCTCAGCAGGCCCATCCTGGTGGCTGCCCCTCAGGGCTCGCTGGTGACACTGGGGCTAGGGCCTGCACCTGCTCCCCCAGGGTAGACTGGGGTCCTGCCACCCTGCTCCAACAAAGCAGGGCCTGAACGGATGCTCCGACAGGAGGCACCAGGCCTGGGCGTGGCCCAGCCACCCATGGCCTCCCAAGGCCTCCGAAGATGCTCCACCAACCGCCGGCCCCACCCAGCATATGCGCGAGGGGATGGCAGGCAGCACCGCGTGGCCCCAGGGTGGGGCTGAGGGCATGCGAGCAGTCACAGCGCGATGGCAGTGGGGGCACCAGGGCGACGTGTGCAAGGACAGTCCACCCCAGGGCCCAGGCCGGGAGGACGCAGGCCAGAGGCCAGGGCTCATGGGCTCTCTGCGAGCGAGCAGCGAGGCCAAGCGAAGCACGGGGTGAGGCTGTGGCCGGGCCCGTGCAGACTGCCCCTGCACGTGCCCTGAGCCGCCCACGGCGAGCAGACAGCACACACAGGCACCACGCGGGCTCGCCACACGCCAGTGGCCGCGGGCCTTACCCCTACTGGGCATCAAGAGGCGCTTCTTCACGTTGCCTGGCAGCGCCACGGGCAGGAGAGAGGGAGAGAAAACACCATCAACTGGCGCAGTCAGCAGTGCCGTGGGGCCCAGCACGGGCCGTGTGCAGCCCAGGGCAGGAGGCTGTGCCCTGTACACACCCTGCCTGGCCTCCCCACCAGGGCGGGCAGCAGAACCCGACTCACCGTCCACACCGTTGTGCTGCTCATAGCTCCTCTTGCCCAGGATGGTGGGGGAGCCATTGTTGATGACCGGGGCCGACTTGGCAGGGGTCAGGCTGCTGAGTACGCTGGACGCGCTCTTTACAGGGTCGGGTTTGGGGGGTCGGGGATGGGTCTCTGAGGGAGCAGCAGAAGGCCGAGTGTCAGAGCCTGGCAGTGACACCACCCGGTCCTCCACCCCAAGGGCCCGCAAGACTCTGGGCAAGTGGCTATGTGGAGACCAGTACCCAGCAGGGCTGGGGCTTAGACACCATTGGCGGGCAGGCTCCCTGCAGGAGAGGGCCAGCCGCAGCCCCGGGAGCTGCTGCAGTGCTGGGTCAGTGCCCGCAGCCTCCAGGACCCAGACGGGCCCGTAAACACGGCAGGCCCATCTGACGGCCTCCGGGTCTAAGCCATCAGAGCTGGTGTCAGAGGGCTGGCCGCTGGCCAGATGTTGAACTGCTGGCCTAGCTAAAGAGACACCCCAGCCACCTCCTCCACAGGACAAGGGTAGGGCCAGCCCTGGGGCCCAGGGCCCCAGGGAGGGAGCGGTGCCAGGCAACTGTGTCTGTGCAGAGCACACTTAGCTCATGTTTCTGGAACGTCCTTCCCAGGACAGGCACCTCCACCCTGGGAGGACTGACTCATGAGCCTGCTCGAGCATCACGCTGGCGGGGCACCCCCACTGCAGGCCTGGGGTCCATGCTTCTGGATGGACCAGGCACATGGCTGGAGTCTTGGGCCTCCCAGCAAGGATGGTGGCCAGGTATGCGCCTCCTTCTCAAAAAGGCCAGCAAAGGCCTGAGTGCTGCCTACGGAGGCGCCTGGGTCCAGGAGGATTCCCTGTGGGCATCAGGGTGTGCGGGGACTCTGAAGGGGGTCCTTGGTGTGCCTCAGGGAGGCTGAACCCTGCAGTGTATGGGACTCACTGTGACCCTGGTGGCGGGGGCGCAAGGCCCGTGGGTCTGCCTGACTGGCATAGTGCAAGGCACCCAGAGGGGCGTCCCATGAGCATTCAAGCCTCTGGACGAAGGAGCTGTGGGCTGCACCAGAAGCTTCCATTTTGGCAGCTCCAAGGGTGGCTCCCTTGCCCCGGGCCACCGCCAGCTTACCGAGATACCGGAGCACAGCTTCCAGGGGCTTCCGCACTGCCTGCTTCAGCACCAGTGGGCTCTGGGAAGCTTCGGGCAGCCGGGCAGTGCCTGTGGAGGGATAAGGTGTATCAGGGGCTGGGCCCCCAGGGAGCTGAGCCGAGCCTGTACCCCAATCTGGGTGTTCTCCCTGGGCCCAGATGCTGCTGGCCCCACGGCCAGGCCCTGAAGCTGCCTACCCACCCCAGCTACACTGACATCAGGAGGAAGACTCACACTCAGCCTTGATGGCGGCACTGTTGATGGGCATGTAGGGGTGCCGTGCGGCATGCCATGGGCGCAGGATCTCACGGCACAGGCGCCGGGCGATCCGGGTCAGCTTGGTGGTGTGCAGGTAGAAAGCCTGCCTCGTCTTCATGGCAAACTTGGGGCTCCCGCTGCTCCGGGCTGGGATGCCATGGGGACTCTGCGGAAGGGGGGCGCACCGCCCCAACACAGCGCCATGACCGAGGGCCGAGGGCCCGTGGCCGGCGCAGAGCGGGTGGCAGGCTCGTCCCACTTACCATGTTGTTGCGATTTGGTCCTGGCCTCTCTCCATCTAACCGGGTTGGCATTTTCAAGCCACCATATTTCTTCCAATATGTCCAACAAGATGCGCAGAGGCGACACTGCATGTTAGGGGGACCCCAAGAATACCACTGGTAAGACTGTGTGGCTACGGACAACAAAGTTGGAAATAGACGGATTCTTAAGCAGAACCAACGGTGCAGAGAGCATTCCACAGTGTCCCCCGCCCCTGCCGCAGCCGCCCCCACCCACCAAGGGAACCCCCGCATGCTCCCAGCTCTCCTCATCCCCCCCACTGCTACAGCCCCACCGTCACAGGCCACCCCAGGCCAGGTCACGGGCCTGCAGAGACCACATGGCACCATGGCGGCAGTGACGTCCCTGCAGCCCCTGCCACCCCAGTGGGTGCCAGGCGGGCACTTACTGTAGCAGCTCTCGCAGGCCCGGCCAGCCCCGGGGCTCTGGCCTGGCGCCCCTGTGCCGTTCACCACACTGGCCTTAACGCTGTTGACGCTGATCTGGTTCGGGTTTGGCTTGTTGCTTAAAGGGGGGAGGGAGCAGTCACAGCAGCCCTGTGAGGCAGCCAGGTATCCAGACCCCTGTCCCTGTGCCTTTGCATTTCTAGGAGTGGCCACCACCAGGTGGAGCTGTCCTCCCAGTCCCAGGGTGCAGAGCACTAAGCCCTGGGCCTCGGGGCCTGACTCCCCCTCTGGCCCTGCAGGCCACACAGCACCACACAGGGTTTCCTCCAGGGCCTCCGCACTGTCTAGACGGCAGGCCGGCCAGTTCAGGAGCCCCCAGAAGCCTGGTGCCCACAGTCCGCCCTGCCAACCCTCAGGGACCAAAGCTGGAACTTACTAGTTGGGAATATAAACTTGCTTTAACTTGCTCTCTGCTTCAGCTGCTTTCAAACGTTTCTTAAAGCAAAAGAGAGGATCAGAGAGGTCAGCGGGCAGGCCAGGCCACGGCCTGGGAACCAGGGGGAGGGACCACCACTGTCTCCTGAGCACTGCCTCCCCGGGGAAGGCCTGTGTGAGAAGTTTTCCTAACGAGCACAGACCCCAAGAGGGGACCAGCTCAGCCTTGCTGACCCCCCGGGGCTGTCTGCCTTGCCATGCCCCAGCTCCTCCCCTTGCGCAGGGTGGGGGGCAGGGGCAGGCAGGCTCACCTGCTGGACGTATCTGTCAGTGGTCTTCCACATGTAGTAGTACTCGATGATGCTGGTGAGCGACTTCCACGGGAGCTGGGGCAGGAAGGGGGCATGAGGTGGGCAGGGACAAGGGCCGCACAGAGGAGGGGGTGGCACCCACTGAAGGGAGTCCCCAAGCTAAATGCTGAACATGGCAACCCCCTAGACTGTCCCCTCCCAACCCATGCTGAATGTAACTGCCACTGGGACACCAAGGGGTGGGACCTCCTGGCGTCCTCTTGAAGGATCAGAGAGGAAGGAGTTTGGGGGGCTCCTCTCTGCACTCTCTGGCCCTCTGCCCTCTGGTGGCACAGCACGAAGGGGAAAGACGTCTGTTCCTCGTGAACTCCCTAGCCTCAGGGCCTGCTAAGGGGCACCGAGGGACCCGCAAGAAGTGGCTGACAGGGCGCCGTGGCCCTCGCCTGGACGGACTCCAGTCTGCAGACTCTTCTCTGCCTCTGACGCGCTCTCCGGCCCTCGCACACTTGTGTGTGCTCCCATGTGCTCATGTCCGAAGCTCTGAGCTCCCCCAGGCTCTGTGAGCTCGCAGTCTTCTCACCAAGGACATCCAGATTCGCTGCTTGCTCCTGACTCCTACCCCAAGCTACGTTTAGAAGTCACCTGCAGTCCCCCAGCTTGCACTGCCTCTGTTTACCTACACTCTCTTCTGGGTCGGAACCTGAGGCCTCGCAGGCTGGCCAGTGCTCCAGGCCGGGCCACACCCAGCCAGGGCTCAGCTAGAGGATCTGGCCTGCAGAGCTTCTGTGTCTTCCCAGCACAGACACACAGCAGTGCCCTAGGC